TTCAGATATATTTTTATTTTTTTCTCAATGTTTGTTGAGGTGCTCAATACCGACAGACAGTTAGACGTAGATCTCAAATCAAATTCAAGAACCTCTCTTTAAAAAAAAAAAAAAAAAAAAAGGCTAAGATCTGATGAGAATCAGTGTCCTCCTTTATGTGGGGAAGACTTTGCTGCTAGAGAAAGTGTGGCAGCTGGTTAAGCCGAGGCCAAAGATCATAATGAAAAACAACAGGAGTTGGTCATTAGAGTTGCAGTGCCTGCAGTGAAGAATGGTTCATAAAACATTGAGCCATGAGATGATTAGTTTAAAGCCTTTGCATTTACACTTCCTTTTTTATATTTACCTGGAGTTGTTTAAGGTTTACACTTGAAGGTTTACACTTACAGTTGAAGCAACCCTTTCTAACTAAATGCTTAAAGATTGCAATAAATTATTTATTGTGATCAGTTAGTTGATTAGTTATTTTTCAATAGTGGGTGTTTATATTATAAAAGTCCTTCTACCAGGAAGTGTACCTGTGATCTTGATGACTAATCTGCTAACGGTTATAGAAGTACTATGAACAGCAGCAATTACCATAAACAATAAAAGTTAAAACTTAATCGTTTCTAGGAAAATAAAACTATCCACAAAGGCTAAAGTCCAGACTTGATAAATATTTACTTCTCTGAGCAGCTTCTTAAAGAATATCCTTGAGAAGATCTGCGTCGAGTTCTGTCTCAGAACTGCAAAATACGCTTTAAATCTTAGTAAGTACAGCGAGACATTGAACCATGATGCCAGAAGCCTGATTAAAAGAGCAATATTATTGCAAAGTGATGTGTCTGTAATTAGAAAAGTTGAAATTTATTCTCAGATCCTGAGTATACTGAATACAATTCAAAACTTCAACTAACAGCAACATGTCTGAGGAAGAAGCTGCAGACACATTAACTGATAAGTAAATAAAACTTTAGGTACGCATTCTTTTTGCAAAAAAATTGAATTATATTACATATAAAAAGTCAGTTTTGATTTGTTTCTTCTTGATTAACAGTGTTAGTTTTGGAAAAAAAGAACAACTTGTAGAATAATGTACAAAACTTTGTGAAGCATTTCTTTTACAGTTCCAATTTGACCCTAACTTTGTTTTCTCAGTTAAATAACAAAAGTGGATTTAACATAAAGAAAAAATCAACACATTCATTCGGTTACGATCCAGATTTTATGACCATATGTGGGGGTGGGAACGTAGACCTACAAGTAAGGAGAAATTTGCCTTTTTACTTAGCTCTCTCTTCCCCACAAGAGACAGGTGTGGCATCAGCATTATATCAGCAGCCGCAAATATCTGTCTATAAATCTCTTGCTTCATTCTTACCTCATTCCTCATTGGGACCTTAGGATACGTTTTCAGTGAAAATGGAATATAGCAAAAATAATGTTGATGTTTGATGTAACAACGAATGCTCTAAAGAGGTTTTTAGGTGGAATTAGTTCTAATCATGAAGTTATTTTTGTGTTTTTATTCGATTCAAGAAAAAAACTGATCTGAAATGGGAAAAAAGACCAGTTTCTCCCACACCAAGCAATGTTTCTATGACAAGCATCATGTCAAAGGGTGAACCTTGAACTTCAGAGACAAAACACATAAGTATGACATTTCACCATATTTTCTCTATCATTCTCTTGAACATTCAGAAATTTAAAGTTTCAAATAGAAAAACAATGATCATACTCTCCTTGCAGAAACTCTAATTTGTTTTAAAGCTCACCTGAACACCATAGACCAGTGTCAGCTTCACCAAGCCTGACAAGTGACATGTCAAAGGGGGAACCTCCTAACTTCAGCAATCACAGGTAAAATACTTTACCAGTAAAACATGTTTTATTTGATGCAGGAAAAAAAATCAGAATTTGTTTCTGTTGTAGTAATATTAGTATTACCTTGATTATATATGAAGAAGTAGGATTTGTACTGGTGTACGGTCATTTTNTAATAAAGAAAAAAACTTTAAGCATGTAAATACTTTGAAAGAAACCACGTGAAATCATTTCCAACTGAACAGAATCCCAGAAATCTTCTATATTCACTTTGCAAGGGAAATTCTCAGAGGGCTGTTTCAGGTCACTCACTGAAAGATTAAAATAATGTTAACAATGAAACAAGAAAAAAGATCAAACACTCATTCCATTCTGACTAACCGGGCAAGTTAAACACTCCTTTCTTGTGGAGGTCCATCACAACTACTGGAGGATAGTAGCCACAGCACACGCAAGAATAGGAATATGCATGGCTTGTCAATGCCTCAAAGTGGCAGTAAGCATGGAGAATTGTATCTCTGGGAGGAAATTTGACCTTCCTCAAGCTTTCCAGTGAGTTTAACACCTTGGAAACAGAAACACTGTTCTAAAAGAGAATGAAGCAATAAATACATTTGTTACTTTTACTATGTATATTATAACACAAAAAGATAATTTGATAATTTCTCCACTTACTTACCTGTAGGTTGTGTCTCAGATATATACATAGCTCAAGGTTTAAGATAACATGGTCATCAAAGTTGTGGAGACTGTCCTTCCATTCTTGGTATCTGTACATCATGCGGCACTGTGGACATTTCCGGTAATAGGTGGAAACATCTGGTGAAAAAAAACAAACATGAATTAAAGCTTTAAGCAGCAATCGACGGGCCCTCGCACGTGCAGCACTTCGAGATGCGAGACAGCCCAACTCTTTGGGAAACAATATATAAGCCTATTTAATAGAATTTCTAGGCTTAACTAATTAATATGTGTACAGACCCAAATAAGTAATAACCATAGTTACCATCACAATTTACTAATGTCATAATATGAAGTGAAACTTGAATAACTTACTTTCAATTACTCCATTCATGGTGATTATCCTTGCTTTTCCAGAAATCTTTATATCTTTTTGCAGATGTACTGACCCTGGACACACAGTGCAAGTAGTCTCCTCTGGATGCAACTCTGTAATGTAATCTGTCATTGCCCTAGGTTTCATAAGGTCATCTGGTAGGTTGGCTGGAAGCTTTTTATGACTGTGTATGTAGTGCACAAGTCGCTTCAAGTCTTCAGCCAATGGTGGATAGATAACGTTTGGGTGCTGTTGAGTTGCAGTCTCTGTTCTGAACACGTCC